ATTGAGTTTCACTAACCAACGACCACCACTGAGACAACAACAACAACAACAACAACAACAACAAGCACAACAACCACCATCACCACACCCAAAACATGAAAATAAAACAACTAAGAATGTTGCAAATATTCGAATTGAATGAATCAAGAGAAACGTATTCAGTTTTGGTTATGCTTGATTATTGTACTTGTAAATATTTGCTTAGTGCTTCTACGATTATTTGTTTCAAATTCGAAGTTATGTTGATAAGCATTTAGGAAAATCTGAATAATATCTGTTTCATGCATCTGCAAACAAAATTAGTTCAATTTTGAATTTTTTCAATGAGTACTTGATTTATGATGGTTGAATTTAAATATTTTGTGAAATGAAATTTAAAAAGAAAATCAGATATTATTGTGATGTTTCAACTGAAATCAATTATCGATACTGGTTTAAATATAATAGGGAGTTATTTGATTAAAATTAAGTAGAAAAATTTTTTTTAGAAAATCAAAAACGAGGAATATTTTCAAGAAAATAAATTGATTCTATGCCATATGTTGAAGTTTTGTAAGAAGAATAGGTTTTCGTTTCATATCAGTATTGATCGAGATTCAAGTACAAAAGAAAAACAAATCATGACACATCGGTAGAAATCAATTAAAAATCTAAAAATACTATAGAGATACATCAGCATGATGATGTTTGATGACCAACAAAGAGTCATAATTCTCGTAGGCAATGAAACAAGTCTGAACAGATGTGAATATTTGATTCGAAAATGACTGTAGCGAGTTTACTGCCCTGAAAATCTATCGCGAATATGCATTGTAATATATCAATACACATGGTCTAATGATGCATCTGTATCATTTTTTCTGTGCACAATCCTTTAAGTCCGATTGTCATCTGATATCGTACTTGCATGACTCTTTTGTTTTTTATAGCTACACACATTCTAACAGCCAAACTAATGATTTAATCCTTTTTTTTACCATTCGCGAGAGATGAATTTAAATGAGTTCCTATATAAAGTAGATAGCGATTGAGCTACTAGCAGTGATCATTAGTTATACTAAAATCTATCATGATTCGTATCGTTTTATGCATTATTCTGCTGACGTATGCATGCCACAACATCGAAGCAAATGTGCCAGGTATGAAAAAATGAAAATGTGGCGTTTTTTTTAAATACATATTTCAGAATTCGATAATAGATATTAAAGGTTGAGAAAAAGGAGACTAATTAGAAACTATATTTGATTTAGTAGTTTGCACCCTTCTAATTTACTTATTTTTTATTATATTTTGAATAATGAATTTTCGACTATGATGTTATCTTTATCGTACATTAAACAACATGAACAAACGTATCGTTCTTTCTCCTATTCTTTTCTGTATTGGATAGTGGGACGACAAAAGAGTAATACTGGTAGAAATGAACTATTTATCTTTTTTTTTCATTCGATTCTCAAGTACAAAAAGAAAGGAGAAAAATTCATACCTAAGAATCATACGTTGCTTCATGTTGTTCAGTGTGTCTTGAAGACAAAATCGTTGTTGAAATATCACTATTCAAAATATAAAAACATCAATAGAAAGAGTACAAACTACCCAATCAAGGCAAATAACCTGATTATCAAACTGAAACAAGGCTAAAAACTCTAATAATTAACATCGGTGCTTTGGATGAAAACTCGAATCTACTTCAAATGTATTTGTCAAAGTTTTTCTAAAGCTTGTTTTCGTCAATATCGAAGAGAATCACTATTTAGATTCATAAGATGTAAATCGAATTGATATCTAAATAAATCAATAAATAATGTAATCAAGCTCATTCTTCATTTCATAGATTCAAATATGTTGCATGTGTATTTTGAAATTCTGCTCGAATAAAGAAACTTTTTTTCTTTTATTGAAAAGTTGAAGAACGCCACGATTGACGCAAAAATTGAGACCTATT